TCCCGCTGTGCGGATCCCGCCTGGAATACTCTTGGCCGCGGCACCGAAGACCGTCTCATACCACTCCTGGAACAAAGGACCACCTCGCCCAACCGAGAAACACACTGGCGTTGCCCTCCATCTCCAAACTGGAAGCAAGTGCTCTTTCAACATCTGCTGCTTGGCCTAACTTGGGTCTGTCTTCATCCTGGAAAACTCCACAAAATACCATCCCCAACGGTGACTCACCGGCCAACAGCGATGATTCCTTGCAGAACTTCAGGCGGATCGGCTTGCCGATCGTCTCGAAGCTGGGGGCCTCATCGAATTCGAACGTGCGGTGTTCATCGAATTTCAGCTCCGCCGGACCTCCGGATGCCCATCCGGGTCATCGTCTGTGCATCGCCTGTGCCATGCCCCACCTGAAAGGCCGTGGGGTCATCGCGGTCATGATCCCATGCCTTAGGAAGAACACCGAAGGAGGTCGAAGCTGATTCGGGCGAAACGCCTTCAGGCGAGGCACCCATGACGAGGCGTCACTGTTCAGGCAGTGGAGCTGTACGTTCAATGTTCACCAGGAGCTACGTTCGTAGCGTCCTTGTGACTAGTAGCGATGTCCCTTGTTACTAGTAGCTTCTTGTTACTAGTACTAAGGCCAGGAGCTACTAGGCAGCCAATTTGCTTTGTTCCCCAAGAGCCATGCGATGGGGAACAAAGCCTCCTAGACCCGAATTTGGACGGGGTGACTCAAACAGGATCCACCCAGTTTGCGTTGACCCATTTCCTCACCTCCTGAAACCTCTTAAACCGTTGACCTCATGAAGTGTCCATCCTAGCTCCGACCCGACCCCGTCACCCCGACCCCACCGCGCTCCCCAGCGGTCGGCACCATCGGGGGCAAGTCCGGCGCCACCGCCAGCGGTCGCAGCCCCGCGAAGGGCGACCTCCGAGCGGTTCGGCGGTCGAAACGAAGGCCGCTTCGAAGGCCGTTCGGCGGATCTCGTTGGGTGGGAAGTGGCTACCGGGGCGAACGAAGAATTTTCGGGGGCGACTTCGGGCTACAAGCAACCTCATGTCCTCAATATGTCCTCATGCCGTTCCGATTTATTTATGTATACCTCTTACTTTCAACGAGTCCCAAACACCCAAGTGCAAACAAGCACAGGATGGGAATAAAGCCGATGAAAGTAACGCCTGTTCCGCACATGGGTTCCGCACTCATCTACGCTTCAACCCATGGGATCACCGAAAATCCCATGTAAAGAATGGGTGAAGTCAAGTGAAGTGATGAGTAAGGGAACCAGTGCTACTTCTGTCAAAGACATGGCCGTTTCCTTTCACTGCATGCCTGCATTAGATGAGATAGTTTGGAACGGGAGCACCAAGATTAGATCCTAGATTTCGGGTCTGCAATGTTACCACACTCTTGACTTTATCCTTGCAAAAATCAGTGCAATGTCCCTTTGATGTTGCATGTGGCAATATGACCACGAACTGCTGAATCTATGTCTGCCACATGACCTCTGCGGTGGCCGAAACAGCCTGTGCCGATCTGTGGGCCTTGTCGCACCTGTCCCCTTCATCTGATCTCCTCAGAACTCCCAACGTCTGGGGGGCATCCCACACAATCCGCCCCTCCTCCAAGGGCTCCAGGGAGAGCCTCGTGGGAGCAGCCAGGCTAAGGAGGTGTGTGGGACTCAAGACGCAACCTCTAGTTTATAGAGTACTCTCTGACTTACTCACATCGGTTACGTGGATGGCATGACCCCTTGGAAGATGGCTTTCCTTCTTGTCTCAGTTTGTGTTGGTGCCATCCACTTCCATGTGAGTGAGTCGGAGTGTAAATCTATATATACGGGAAACCATGGTCTTCACCCCCTAGACGTTCCCTGGAAACCAATTCTGGGATCGACGAAACAATTCAGCTTCTGCTAACTTAGATATTGCTAATTCATCGTCAGATTCCATGTATCCGCCCGGCATCCTTCTCACTCCTATGTAATGTAGGGGGTCATTGGACAGTATCTTGCGATTGAGTAGATTAGATTCCTATCCCCTACTATCCCAGCAAGTTTGTGGCAGTGGTTCAACCAAACCACCCAATCAAAGCACCTTTCATTGTTCCTCCCACCCAATTCCCTCCCCTCCTATGAGGAGCTGTTGCAGGCAAACGTCGCCCAGATAAGGAGGACTCGGCGGCGAGCTCGCACAAATGTGACGCGTTGGTGGGTGAGAAGCCACCCTTCTCCACTCGGGTGCCCTGAGGAGTGGGGGGAAATGGAGCGTGAGCCGCTGGGTCGCATGCATTGCACATCAACTGTACTTACTTGCCTGGACATGCTTTAGGTGAAATGAAGTGCAGCCAGTCTTTGGCAACCACGGGCTGCTGATCCACACGAGAGAGAATTGACCCCATAAGTGTCCAGCAAGAGGCGTGTCGCCCCCATCATCTTGGAAAAACACAAGACATTGCTGAGACAGAAATCCTGTACGAATGCCCATTGGTTGAGAGAATGAGAATCCCCATATTTGTAAACACCTTGTTGGTTAGTCCCTGCAAAATCCTGTTTTGGACTGGTTTCTGCCCGGCACCCCCGACCGGCGGGCGCGAGCCAGCCATGGTGGAGAAGAGCGACCTAAGCAGGGTGCAGAGCCCAAGATCGAGCTCCCACTCTTGTGATTGAAGGAGGTCGCACCGCCAGGCCATCGCTACTAGGGTGGAGGCCATCGCTACTAGGGCCTTTGAGCTATCTTCGAAGAAGGTCAAGACGATCTCTTCTCCGGACGATTTCATACATCTGCTGGTCGTTTTTCGCAATTCCCCGTGTCAATCGCTGCTACTTAACCCAAGTAAACAGTACAAGTACTTTTGCAAGGGGTCACTCATCGAAGTGTTGTGCCCCATGAAAATGGTTTGCGGATGTTGGTACCATGCCGAAATCGATCAAGCCAGCTAAACTACCCTCATTCAGGAGGGCCCTTCGTCAAGCCTCTGTATCGCAGTCATCATGCCCTCCAGTACACTCCAAAAAGCCAGACAAGCATGACCACCCCACAGCTCCTTTTCTCGACTTCTTGGTGCTTGGGAGACTCTCAATGTTAGAAAATATAGAAAATAAGAAGAAAAAAAAACACCTTCACTGCACCAAAGAGCTCAACGTCGGCCACCCTTCTCTGACGTGGAGAAGGGGTCACCTTCCAGAGAAAAGGTCTGTGGGTACAAAATTCTAGATCACCCAAGATGTTCTAACCTCGAACATTTCAAGTGATGCCTCACTCTGGCTTCAGTCCAATGTGCTTTGGAAAGCTACGCATGAGTTAAACCTGAAAGCAATAGCAAAGCGAAAGGATTGTTTTTAATGCCCACCAAAGGGGACTATAGACAGAGCACTGCACCTCCCACTACCTAAGCCCAATGCAAAGCATCTCTCTCTCTCTCTCTGGACTTGCAGTCACTTGGGCCTTTCTTCATCTCAAAAGACTGCAGCAAACCAAGACCGACTTGATTGACCGTCTCGCAGTCTCGCTGGTGAATTGACCGACTTGGGTGAGAGTGATTGAGCTTGATTGATCCTCGAAATCTGCATCTCCCCTTTTCAGGCGTCAATGAACCTGTTACGAGGACAGCAAAACATACACGCTCCAAACCAAGGGAAACAAGCGAGAACAATAGCTGTGGTTTTGCAAAGTGCATATCTATCTCCACTGCGCATGCGCGCCTGCGAAACGGAACTGTGCTGGTGTCTGCCGCCATCTTGCTTAGCAACGCTGGCGGAAGAACCTCCTGCATCCTTTGCATCTCTTGGGCCTCTCTTTAGTTGCCGATGTGGCCAACGAAAGGTCAAGGACTATGATCATGTCCGTTTTGTGGTCAAAACAAAGTTGCTTGAGTGATCCCCACAATCCCAGCATGGACTTCTTTGCCATCTTCAAGCTCCCCTCAATCCTGCGGCGATATCCGTGTGCTTCTCACCACAAAAAGAGACCGGTGTCAATCAGCCTTTGCAGCCACTTGGAGCTCCTTCATCTTCAAAAGATGCATGGCTTAGCTACATACAAAATCTTAGGCAGCAAGGAGTGCTGTGTCCCTTGGAGTCCATGTAAGGCTGAATCAGCGGTCATGTGACCAGAGGTTTCACGCAAGCCGTGCGACGATCTAAAGGTACTCCTAACGTCTCAAAACCAGCATCATCGAAGCCAGGCACCGAATCCAGCAAAGCCAACCCATTCGACATCACTTGACCCATTCCAAACATCTTGAAAGGGAAAACCCCATGAAACGCGCTCTGCACAGCGTTGATCCACCTTGCCCCAATAAGCGCTCCACCTTGCGACCACCCCCCTGGCACGTCGTTTCTTGAGATGCCTTCTTTGTGCATCTGGTGAAACAAAAGCATGGGCGAAAGGAGAGCCAACGGCCACAGTAGTCAGCTCTTTCATGGGGCGAACCAAATGGGAAGTCTGGTTTGTGAGGCTACCTTTTCTTTTTGGTCACAGTTTAGTTCAATCGAGCTCAATCAGAGGCCAATCAACTACAGTACTGAATCAATGATAGTGAAAGATTGTGCCTGCTGAAAGTAGTCAAAGGATCACCGAAAACATCGAAGACTCCAGCCTTCAGAGTTAGGGGCGAGCGAGTCTCCCCCTCTCCAACCTTTAAAGACCGTCGGCCCTCTCAAGACGCCCGGGAGTGCGCCAGTTGGAACACAGGAGGCGCTTGCAGGTCTTGACAGCTGTCAGAGCTGCATTGCGTTGAAGAGTGACACAGTACGCTGGAAGGCAGAAACCCTGAACAGTATTATATAATATATATATATATCGTACAGAGTATGTAGTATATGGTAATCCAATGTAATCCAATGGAATGCAGTGAAGCTTGCTTGACACAATGGTGAGGAGGCCGTTGAAGTACGGCAGGACAGTATGTCTAGCCACGCAGGCGTAGTGCATGAGATGACGCAGAAAAAAAGAATAAAGGTGTCTCCGGCAAGGGGTGGCCCTCTACGAGGGCGGTACCGGTACTAAACAAAGGATGCGACTCTCAGCAAAGGTCCCTCAAAAGATGCCACTCGTAAGCAAAGCCTTAGCCAGGTGTGGCAAGCTGTCCAAGCAATTTCCCCTCCCTCCCGCCTGGCCATGTAGTCAAATCGCAAAGAACTATTTTTGGAGCTAGGCTAGGCAGACCGTCTGCAGTAAAAGAAAACATCCGTGCTTCATGCATGTATCACTTGCTCTAGATATGGACATGGACACTCGCACCGAACTCGGGCCAGCTGCTTGCTTTGAGCTTCAATCACCTCGGACGGAAGACGGGGCCATGCCCCCCATCGACAGGAGCCCCAAACACCCTCGCCTCGGTCGCGCTGGAATGGGCGAACGTGGTCCGTCCCCGTTCCGAAGCAGGCTGGACCGGTGGACTGGTGGCGACTGGTGGCGACTGGGATGACCATGATCCCCTCACTGAAACCTCTCGGTGCCGGTGCGGGCGGCACGCCCCCCCTCAAAGCTCTCCGCTCAAACCTCTCCCGCCTGAAGGAGGCTTTTGGCATCGCCCATGCAGCCATTCACGGAACAAATGTGCATGCCAGCCTGATTTCAGGTGTTGACAGAAGGAGATGGGATGCGCCGCATGTGGTCAGGCCTCTTCCAGTTCAGATGTTGGCCTAAAAGATATAAACAACGTTCTGCGAGAGCTTTCTAACCTTGCACCACCACAATGTCTCCGACGTCTGGAGTTTCATGGACCTGGCTTGGAAATCTGACGAGGATCGAGGTGGCCCCTTGATCACGTTCGTGCAAGCACATCTTCAATGGCACAAGCCCTCCTGGTCACTGGGTCACCTCTCAAGAAGAACGAAACACCCCCCCCCCAGCCGCCAACTCTAGTACTCCATAAGGTTGGTCCTTCAGCCCAGCGCTCGAGCAGCGAGCAGCGTGGCCTGTAGGCCACTGCGGCTCGCATTGGCTCCACATCTTCTCACATAGAGACCCACCTTCCGGGCGGCGAAGGCTGGTGGCGGCAGGTTTGGAGTTCTTTTTCTAAGGAAGGAAGACGATTCCTTGGGATTCATTGGGTATAGATCTGAATCACTCTTTCAATTTATTCAGTATTCCTTCTTTCAGTGTGAAGATGCTCGTAAGATTTGCTCCACACGAAAGATCCATAGAAAGCTCGCTTTCGCAGCTCAGCCCACCGGTTTCCGGTCTCACCTGGGTGGGCAGCAGGTCCATGTCCCAGGCCATCCCAGGAGTTTGTTGTAAGGACCTGAGCGAAGGAGGCCCATACAGCTCTGACCAAAAGCAGTTGGGCCAACAAGCGTCCTTCGTTCCAGCACATATCGACTCGCAGGTAGACTCGCGGCACAGCACAAAACTCGCTGCTTTTCCAGGCCGACATGGCCGACCAGACGATCCAAGAACTGGCAGCTATGGTTGATTAGCAGAGGATTCAACTGAAAAGGAATGGAAAAAAGAAAAACAGAGTCAATCAATCCAAACCAATAGATCTGGGCGTACAAACACACAAGTCAGACAAGGCCACGAAAGCGGGACAAAACCGTTTCTCTCGGACGATATCCAATGATTGGGAGAGAAAGAATAAAGTTGCAGTTGCAGTAAAAATGTAAAAGAATGTTCGTACCGTGATCGGGCTAGATAGCAAATAAGCCCGAGGGGTATGATGGCTGCCAACCGCAAGCTTTCATTGGGGTAGAAGCTAGTGTTTCACCTCACCCTGTAGTTGCAGAGTTCAATGTCCCCGTCCAGAAACGTATCAAGAAGATTTCCATAGTCCTACCGTTGCATTTCACAAGAAAGGCAACTTTTTCAAACCCCGTTGTTTAATGTCTGAGACGTCCAACTTCGCAGAGTGTGCCCCCCGTGTGCTGCACCCCGCAATGCGCTAGGAGCGCTGGCAAGGTTTCGAGAGAAGGTTGTGTGAAGCCTCAGCCATAGGCAGGTCAAGATAGAGGTTCCAAGCTGCTAACGAATGAATTGTCAACACAGTATGGTTTGCCGCAGAATGCTTCAGAATGAATGCAAAATGAAGCTAGGCATCTACTCTGCCTTTAACAAAAGGATCTTGGGGTTGGTCATGATCCGCGTTCAGGGCATCTCTGAATACACAAACTCAGAGCTTTTGTTCCATACGGATTGGGTTTAAGTGGTCCTAGAAGCTAAAATGTTCTTGTTCAAATGCTAATCCTTTCATCCTTTGCCTACAGCTTGGAGCTCTTGCCTATGTGTCCAGAACGCATGCGTTGTTCCATGAAACTTAGACCAAAGTGACTGCAACCCTCGACTGCTCTTCCGGCTGTAAAAATTCCTTTGGGCATCATCAGTTCAAAATCAAAAGGGAAACGAAGCTCAAAAAAAAATATATATATATATCAAAAGAAGGCCTGTCCACTGACTTCTTGCACTTCTTTCTCGCGTGGCACCCAAGCCCCATGGGGCGCCCTGCCCAGTCTCAAGTGTCCCGTCGACTCCTTGAGGCGCTCAAGGAGCTTCTTCGTCTCCTGCTTCGAGGACCAAAACGTGGATCGAGTACGTCGAGTACGTCGAGTGAGCTTCGCCCACGTACCTTATTGGCCGCGGGACGCCCGAAAATGGACCACCACGGAGTGCGGGACACCCTCCGATTCCACCGGTCTTTGGGGGGGTCGGATCTGCGATCTGCCGCTGTCGGGTCCTGCTCGACTCCGTCAAGGGATCTTAGCCCCAAGCCCGGCCGCAGCTGCCTGAGTCGAAGATCTGTCCGCCCAGCGCTAGTGCTGTGGCGGATAGGTGGATCGAGTTGAACACAAGGGTCAGCCCCTAGGTTCCAGCTCCCCAACAATCGCCCGTGATGCGATTCTTGGAACAAAGCAGGGAGTTGAAGAAATGACCCTATTCCCGCAGACAAGTCTTCCATGGCAGAGCCCCCTGGTCCATTTGTAAGACCACAGTGGATCTCTCACGCGCATGGCTGTGCGTAGCTTGACTAGCGAGACATCCCTGGCCCAATGGGCTTGATCGTCTATTCTTCCTCTTCGAGGATATATGTAAGAGCTCGCCCGAGTGAGGAGGTGCAGGGAACCGACAAAGAGCGTGTCATGTTCGCAAATTGGTCCTGTGTCGATACATCGACACGTTGAGCAGACAGGGACAGGATTTGCGAAAACGCCAGTCCACCCATGCACCGAGACGTCTACAAACGGAATAGACGTCTAGTGCTTATGAAAAGCAAAGAACAAACCTCACCAACTGCTGAGCTCCGTCCTGAGCTCCGCACATGGAGGCCTCAGCACGTTGGTTCCACTTGGCCGCCTGACCCTCTGAGGCCACCTGGAACACCACCGCGATCCTCGGGGCACGCTTGGGACGGTGGGTTGGGTCGGGCAAGGGTGCTCAAAGCCCCTAGTATTGAGATTGCCTAACCTAGGTAGGCTCTGTAGCTCTGTTGGGAATTCTTGTTTGGCCTCCAACCCAACAGCCAAACTGTATAAGACCTTTCTTCCTTTTCTGTGTCTTTGTTTCTACTAGCGATGTCCTCCACCTAGTGGCGATGGCCTCCAACCCAATGGCAAACTATAGAGACCTTCTAGCGATGGCCTCCACCTAGCAGCGATGACCTCCACCTAATAGCGATGGCCTGCACGCCTCCACCTAATTAACTGGTTTCAAGATTGCACAAGACTTGCCCTAAAATCTCAATGCACCTGCCTGCACTTGACTTTACAGGCTGTGGTCATGCTGGTTCAGAAGGGAAGCGCAACCACCAGGACGCACAAACATAATGCATGTACTGAAAATGTTCCAGGTGGCCTACCCTTTTCAGTTTTGCTATACTCATCATATGGTGGTGCACGTGTATGTGTCTCCAGAAACTTGCGGATCCCATGCACCCTAGCAAGACGAACAACCACCCAAATCATAAACGAATCCAAGTAGCGTGGGATTGGTATGGTCGAAAACCAAGCCGAAGTGGTCCTCAGAGCATCTGATTCTCACGAGCATGTACGCACGATGGCTTGCGACACCAGGTTCTTGCTGGATCTTCGAGTGGGTGGTGCGCTGGGCCCTAGGGTTCATGAAAACCCTCCGAGAATTCCTTCTGAAAGATGGAGAGAACCAGGATCTTGAATTGAAAAAGGGGAATTCTGTGTAAAAGCCCATGAGTTTCAACAAGTGTTCAAGCTCGTTCCAAGAAGTCAAGACCTCCAGTCCCAAAATGCGCAGATTCTGTTTAAGTCCTCCACCAACCATGCGGGGGTGACTGGCTCCCTGTTCTTCAAGGGAGTGGCAAGAGGTGCTCCCATCACCCGGACCACTCGCCGCGGCGCTCGTGCTCCCACCTGCACCCGCTCGTGCTCCCAGCTCGCTTCCCGTCCGCGCGACCCGTGACAAGTCCACCGAGAGGCGTTCTCCATCTTCCAGACCTGAACCGGTCCGAAAAGGCAGGAGACCAAGCGGTGGAAAGCAGGTCGGCAGTGCGGGGGTCCGGCACTGCCATCTGTCGAACCGGAGCAGTGGCAACTGGAAATCATATGAAAGCAAATCCAAAGACCCTTGTTTGGTGTAAAGCTGGTACTCTCCCAGGAACTAACATGAAAGTGGGAAAAAGGAAAAGGACAAACTGTTTGGGGAACGAGTTTCTATCTGCTCCCACTCCAGGCAATGTGCGTGACACCCAGAGAATGAACGAGTCCTGAATGGGATGATGTTGTTCGGAGATTCAAATCAACGTCATCTCAGCCGGGCCAATCCCCAACTTGTTCAATTTTTCTTGCGCAGTCGGCGCCACTTTTCAAGAAGCGAGGTGGCATTGGGTGACACACTGTCCTGCCGCAGAAAAGGAACGAAGTCTGCTTGTGTTTTGGACTCAAGTCGGCCAAACTGCGTCCCAGGCGATAGATGCCGAAAAAGACGTTCGAGGAAACATCGAAATCTCCTCGCACCAACTTCAAAATTCTAGCTTGAACACATGTGTGAACTTATTCCCCTTTTGTCTGCGCCCCCCAGTCTCCTTTTCAGGCACACTCACGCCTGCGGGCACGCGAGCATCATCGAGCATAAGAGGAAGGCTCCGATGATCCATGTGTTCGATGTCGTCCCAAGAACAGGATCCAGGTAGGAGCGATCGGACGCTACTAGGGTGGAGGCCATCGCTACTATCCAGAATCCGATCTCAAACCTTCCATCTGTGACGTCGGATAAGTGACAGTTTCAGAAGACTTCCGTTTCCATGCAAGAACTGGAGATATCTAGACTGACCCTGAAGGAAGGCCTATTCAAAAATGAATGTGTAGGACACACTGCGCACTGTGGGTCAAACTTCTGAAGTCAAAGGTGAGGTGGGTTGCTTTTCAATGGCAGAAGATTTCGCTGGGTATCTATCTGCCGACGGAGGATGTCCAAAGACTCCTGAAGAGGAACTAACCAGCTGACACCCAGCTTTCCCAGCTTCCAACTTGTGGTGTGCACATTAGAATTAATAAAACCAAATCTCATCGAAAACTAGAAAGCAAGTCATTTATGAAAGAAGATTCCTACACCAATTCCCTGCAAGTGCCAATGATCAAACATGCTTTGCCTACTGATTCCAGCCTGTCTAGGAAGGGTCTTCCTCGATTTTGTCGGATGCTGGCGGGATGCTTGTCTTAATCGCTCTGCAAGAACTAGAAACAAAGAAACGAAAAGAACACACAACTTTACCCGACGAGGTGCGAGCGGAATCCTCCCCCACCTCCTCGCAGGGGTCGCCCGTCTGCTGCAGGTTGGCCCAACGGCGCCGCATCTCCCCCTCCGGTCGGAGTAGATTTGGAAGCCCCACGGCCAAACAGGTTGGATTGATGTTCTTGCTGTCGGCTAGTAGTCCAAGTGAGATTCGTGAAGAACTCGCACCCCAAAAATAGAAACGCTATTGCTTGGAGCGGACCAAAAAGCAGGGACACGAAACGGTACAACCCGCTCAGAGCTTCTAGTTGCTTCCCAAGAGAGAGCAGTCCTCCGAGACGTAGTGGTCAAGCACCATCGACTGGCCGTCGGACTTTCCTGATGCAGATGATAGAACAACCCACGTGACGTTCGTGCAATTATTGAAAGAAGAACTCAGATCCCAATATGATCCCAATAAATCTTCCCAACAGAACAGCGTGCAAAATCTCTCCACGCCAAGAATCTGGAAGACCTGATGTCACACCCCAACTTCATGGGTTCGCTTCATGTTTTCCAATCTGCCACCTATGTTTTTTGGGAGTCATCCTCCAAATCAAGCCCAGACCAAGCGTCGGCAGGCATCACCCATGATGGACAAAGGCATGCTGATGTGCTCGTGTTCCACGGCCTCTCACCGGATCGCAGCTCAGCTAGAATTCAAGCGCAAAGAAGGGCATCGTTTGGGGGGTCATTGCTATTTGGTTGCTATTAGGTTGGAGGCCATCGCTGTAGTTTCTTTGCAAGGCATCTTTTGAGGGACATCGATGTTTGCAAGAAGGCACCTCCACAGGTACATGTCTGCCTACCGCCAGGTATAAAGTCACAGAATTGTGATGGCGTCATTCTTCATCAAAGCTACAGGTCCTTCCTAAATAAAAGAAAGAAGAAAACGAGGAATGGACGTATGAATTCTTGGCTCCATCAAGAGGAGCATCGTCCAAAAATGTGGAACTCACGCCAACGGTGACCCATTGGGTGGGTCCTTCCTCCACACCGGCCTCCAGCCAAAAGCCGACCTCGGCGGTGCCGAAAAATGGGAGGTCGGCTTCAGAGAGTCAGAAGTCATCGCACCCCCCTGAGGAATCTCCCGAGTGCCGGTCATCAATGAGTGGGTCGTATCAAAGGGGCACCACTCAAGGACATCCGGCACTATGAAAACCCGTTTTGGTTGGGGTCCCTTCGTATTGGGACAACCTCTGTGGACCCCATGCGCATTGACTAGGCTAAAAGCCCTATCTACCTTTCAAGCAGTGGCCGCTCAAACAGTGACCATCAGACTTTCACGCTGGAAAGGAAACCCAAGTAAGTTCGAAGCATCAGGTATGGGTTTTAAACCATTCTCAACATCTAAACCACCGCAACTTGAAGGGGAAACACCAAGCCTTAAGCATTCATTCAAGATAAGGCGCAGTCGCTTGTGTCACATGTCCGCCAGCTTGGAAGTAGAGGGGCAATACTTCGCACAGTATGATGATTCCGCAATTGACCCCGGTCAGCCTGGTGTTACACCAGGATCTTCCAATCCGCTGGGTTCCACTGGGTTCCGCTAAGGAGCTGAAACATCTTCCTGAGGTAAGTCTTGAAGCGTGGGAAGCTCCTGGGATTTGTGCGGAGGCGCCAAACACTGGAACCTTCACGGATTGGACGTGGATAAACGTGGAACTTACAGCCGTCTGCGAAGGATAGAACAGCAACAAAGGACACTTCTAAGGCGTTTAGCAAAGGACTGGCGCCCTTTCTTCGGCTACTCTTCTGTCAAATCCACTCTTTTTGGATAGGGAGTTCACTGCGGACAAGGCGAGTCTGCCAGCGCTTCGCTCCCCCTCATCCGACCCCATCCGCTAGCCCATCGACTGCACCGAAAGGCAGACTTGCATGGGGGCCAATTTGAAAAAAATCAAAAGTTCCGACCGGAGATCTGAGTCCTACAACCAAGGAGAAGGTGGCCATTTTCCTCTGAAATAAATCAATTGTTGCGGTTGAAGATGGTCATGCTGTTACGTCTTTGTGTCTTGTTGGGTCTTAGTCTTGTTCCTTGTTGTCTCCAAGGGTTTGGGGGCTCACTCTTTTCGCTGCCTCAACAGGATTACATCACATGAGGACTTGACTAGACTGGAGGAAACAAAGCGATTGCAATTCCAGGCTATCCACACCTTTGCAACAATGGGCATCAAAGGGCTTCGAGTAGGACTTTGCCCCTTGACATGCTGGGGACTACCAACACTGGGTCACGTTGCTTTCGCAAGAACCACGTATCTTGTCACTAGCTCACATGTCCCACCCCTCGTGCCAGCGGGAATTCTCATCCTCGGATTCGGATCTAGCGTCATCCTCCTGCCATGGACGTTTTCGAGCTCAAAACACAGTGTTCGATCATCCTGCAATCTCCAAGACATTCTTCGTGTAAAGAGACCAGTTCACTTCTTCAACACATGGCGATGTTGAGGTGCTGACGATGTGCTGTTGAGAGTGTTTCGAGAGGCGTGAGGTAGAAACACAGAATGTCCATTCGCAGAATCTCACCTCCGGTGCTAGCATGCTGATGTAGTTGCCTTAGATGCCACAGAGTTGCCGAAAGTGGAGGAGGCTGTTTAGAGCTTCTGCTTCCTCTGCTTCCTTACAAAGATGACCACTCTACCCATGCCACCGCCGAGCTGCACAAGTCCCGTGTCAGCAAATATCCGCAGCTCGGGCTATAGACTGGATAGGTCTCCTGGCCGGTAAGCTTCGTAAAGACCTCAGGTGGCGCCAACCTGCCGCCACTGCCAGATCGAAGCAGAAACGCCGAAGCGCATGGAATTTGTCGTTGAAAACATCTGAAAGGCCAAGGACCCAGTAGGTCAATGCAATGGACCCATAGATAGACTCCTAACAACCCTCGCTTCAGTGTGTTCTTTGCCGCCCAGGCGACGCCATCCGGGTTGCGTCCGCCGCCCTGGGGCCGTCCCTTGCGGCGGACCTCGCCCGCTTGGGCTGCACGCCTCGACCGGGCTGGGCTGGGCTGCACGGTCAGGTTGGGATAGAGAAGGAGAGTGACGCACCAGCGAAACATGTGAGGTTCCCTCTTGACCTATCACCTATCAAAAGGATATCGGACGCTTGGCTGCAGAACAAAACCCCCGTTCGAATGCCTTTACTGAAGCCCTTGTAACAAGTCTTAGGCCTCAGCCCCCTTCAAGGGGGCTGAGTCCGCCCCAATACACCTTGATTTCGCCCCTTCCAGCCTGGCGCCAAACAAGTCATGTTCCTCGGCGAAGTTCAGCAAACGATCTACAAAGATCCAGGAATCTGTATCCTCAGATGGATCAGCTCGGATGGATCAGCTCAGAGATGAAACAAGTTAGCTTCGTCCGAAACGACGATTCACTGGAATATGGGGTAGCAGCGTATTCCGCCAAAACCAGGGCACAGATGGAAAACTGCAGGAAATTTCCCCAGAGATCTGAGGTTGAAAAGGTGGGCCATGCCCCTCAGACGATCAAGCTTGTATGGTTTCCAAATGCCTGAACAGTGCTGGTGCCAAGCGTCAGCCTTCAACATGAGATGGAAGCTGTAGTGTTGTACAGCCTCAGGCTGCACTCTTGCAACACAACTCTCCGAAGTACCTTTGTCCACATGAAGATATGCACAACCTTCGACCAAAGTAGTTGTTGAAGTCAGCTTTGGCTCATCTGAAACGCCAATCTCACAAGACCATCTCTACTTCTCGGGCTAAATTGCCACAAGTCAAGGATTCTGAGGCTTTGAGTCCAACTCATCGTATTGGCTAGTTGAGTCATTTCCGCATCAGCTCACGTACCGCCTCGAAACCGCTCACGGTTTACTGCTGCCAGGGGTCGTAGTGGATCCCACCGCGCACCTTTTCAGCCAGTCGGTCATAGGCGCTGCTGCTGAGCGGAGGCGAGAAGGGGCGTAGGAGAGCGAGAACGGGAGCGACCATTCCATGGGATGTGGACCGGTTACAGAAGGTGCTCCTTTCCACCACCAGCGTGACAATCTGGCAAAGAAATGAGAACAATGCACTCCGGGCTTCCTGTACCCATGGGGACCTGGATCAGTTGGTTTACGAGAAAGGGGGATCGTCAATCCCAGAACGGCGGGGCGGAGCGCCGTTGCTTTGATCAGTTGGAACATCGGTTCAAGAGCTCAGGTTTCTGTTGTGCAGGCTCTTCGCTTCGAGCCAACAGGAGGAAAACCTGGCCAACTGTTCAACAGCTCCTCAAAACCCACAGCAAATGCCTGGGCAACGCCACCACGTCTGCAGCCTGCATCTCCTTGCAGAATCCAGGGAGGAGCCAGCCCCATAGGATTCACCCTGGGTAAGTCCAAGCGATCTCATGGGCACCAAACTGTGCATAACTTTGGCGATACATCGCTCAAACCCCGAAGACCCTAGCTTCAGTCATGTTTGAGTGGTGGAACTTACCCATCCAATCCATGTACCTTACCCTGCCTCAAACTGTCAGCCAAGCAAAGCCAAAGCCATCGCGTCGAACTCCGGTTTTCACGGAACGGCAACGTCACGTCTGTGAGCCCCGCTTCTCTCTCTCTCTCTCTCTCAAAAGGGTTGGAGGCCATCGCTACCATCTCTATTAGGCTCTCGCTCTCGCTCTCTCTCTCTCTCTCTCACATGTCATCCACCACCTGGCCCGACCTCACTGTCCGGGTCGGCTTCATCTCCAAGCAGGAAGAGGTACTTCAGCGTCCGGTTGCTCCGGCACCTCCGGGTGTTCTAAGAGAACCCAGAAATGCCCAAAACAACTGAATTCTCCAAACGGAGATTCATGAGATTTGTTCGGCTGATCCCTCCGTAACCTGCAAACCGGGATCCTCTAGCTGCTAGCATTCCAGCATTAATTCCAGCATTAAAGGAAAAAAACAAACATCTTTTGATGCGTCCTCCTGCTCCCAGGTTTGTTTCGGCACCCCTCAGTTTGGACAAATCCTTTATTTAAAGCACCGACCCTCTGAAGGTCCATTTACAGTTGTTTCCCTTCTGTCTGGCCGCACACATTTGGGCCTTCCTTTGACGAACTCTTGTCCACAAAGCCAAGACCGAGTTGTGTTTGGAGTGCGTGCTGTCCTAAGACCGCCTAGACCTCTAACTTTCAGCAAAACCAAGTTCCTTCAGAAACTGGACCTACCAAGAAAAGGAATAACAACATCTCCCATGAGCCCGCCCTACCGCGGACCGGTGGACCGTTTCGCCGAGACGCCCGTGCCTGGCACAGAAATGGGTCGTCGTATCAATATCTCGCGTCCAGGTCTCCCGGATCGCGCTCAGCCGTGCCCGGTCACGGCGCAGGCTCGCGGGGATCAAAATCAACAGGTCATAATGCCTGGCGCGTGGGAGGATGAACCCATCAGTTCGACTTGTGAAGACATTGAAATTGCCTTCCACTGATCCATTGAAATTGCCTTCCACTGATCCACCAGGTTGAAACACGAGATCGCGGCGATCTAGTTTCTCCCCACAACCTGGTGTTTCAAACCTGGTGCTTGCAGGGCTACCCCCACTCCGAAATGTGCACAAGGGACCTTGATCCTCATGTACCCCCTTGCTCTTGAAAATCTTTCAGCAGCCAAGGCACTCAAGTTCATCTTCATGGATCAAGGATGCATTGGCTGCTTCTCTCCCTGGTCACATCAAACTCTGGACTCTTGCTGCGACGAACGAAGCTCAGCTTAAGCTGACAAAAAGAGCAAGTTTCCCGAAGAACATAAGGTGCACCTGGCCTTCCCCTTTCAGCATATTCCTGGACAGCAAATGGTATCTATCCCATGTATCTTCTTGACGTCAAGTAGATTAGCTCAACATTGAACAACATCTGATTATATATATAATAATCATCCTCTCCCGAGTTTATTCCCTGAGCTGCGTTGCAACTATCTGCCAGGGCACGGAGAAGCTTCTGCCGCTTGCTATGCGGCCTGGAACAACACTGAACAGTCAGTGTACCCTACTTTTGATAAATGAACCTCAAGAAGTGTAGGGATCTGAAAAGGAAGGGATCACGGCAGCGAAGAAATGAACTCTTCGTTCTGTCAACCCCTCAAAAGGCTGGTGGTGTTATGATTTCAGTTTGTGCTACCTCGTGGCTTTTGAGAGCAAGTGCTACCCAGGCCGCTACCCGGGTAGCAAGTCACTGCCTGAAAGCTTCGATCTTCCCGGAACTGTCAAGTGAAACCTGCAGGCGGATTGGTGTTGTAGATGCTGAGCGTTTCCTCTGTCTCAAAGGCTTTGGGCTTGAAGCAGCGTTTCCAAAGATGCCAATTTATTCAAGAATACTACGTTTCAAATTCAAAGTGGCTGGCAGGCCCAACCAAGGAAACACCGGTACTCACAAAAGGACATGATCTTGATGGGCTCCAAACATGGGAGAGATTGTCAAAACGGTCTGCCTCACCATGTGCTCAGCAGAATGACTCCAGCTCCAAGTTGCCAAAGCAGTTGGGCCCTAGATACTTGTCAAAAGTTGCACAAATGCCTAAATGGCCGTGTCTATCAAATTTCAACACAGCTTGCTTGAGTCAAGAGCAGTGAACCACGGAAACAACTGCCTTTTCTTGGTGGGAACCTTCTCCCACACGACGCAGTCGGTTCGCGCTTCAGACTGCCGCGAGCAGCCAGCCTGTACGATGGACGAAGAAACCGTCCAGAGCCTTGGAGCACCGGAGCACATCGTGCGCATCGCGTCGTTGACGTTAGTAACAATGTTTGCTATTAGATTTAAAATTAATAGCTTCTTGTTACTACTAGTAAGGCACTTGTTCCTAGTAGCGTGGCACTTGTTTCTACTAGCTTCTTGTTACTAGTAGCGTAGGAGGTGTTGTACCACAAATGAAGGCGACCAATGAGTCGAGAAACAGGCTCTGGACGAGGAGGCCTGATCTAAACATCACGCGCGGCCATGGGACAACGGGGGCAAGGCTTTTGCATCCGAGACCTGGCAAAATCATCCGAGACCTGGCAAACATTAGGAGAATCCACCAAACCAAGCATTGACTGGAAGTCTTCATGTGTTCGCGAGGTCATCGGCCTCGGCAGTCGATTTCAAGTCATCGCAGCAAGTCATGTGAGCATGTCAAGGCAAAACCCACCATGTCATGTTGCCCATCCCCCGCAACTGACCGGACTGAGCCGCTGCTGCAAGCAGATCGATGAACGGTCACAGACCCATTGGTGCTCATGGCTAGGCTTTCCTAAACAGATTGCCATGTTCAGTGAGAGGAAAAGCGGTCTCTGAGCATGCCTTCTTTTTGAAGGCATACTGCATACATATACGACATTTGCCGGAACAGTCGAGTCAGTCATGCAGCCACCCCGTCCATTCAAGACACAGTTGAGGAGAAAAAATAGTTGAGTCTGAAAGCTGGAAGCTCTCAACGAACTTGGAATGGGAAGCCTCAGAAGATCTTCAGGCATCTTGTAAACACCAGCTGATTGGGTCTATAGATGTTTCTCAGTGAAACCCTCGCGGCTTCACCCAGTGTTTTGGGGCCCTCGCAGCTTCACCCCGACCTTCCACACAGATTGTGCCCAATCAATAGTATTTAGTCCAAACTCTAAAGCCAACCCACAAACTGTCTGTTCTCCCATCCACAATCAAGCCAGTTCATCGATCGTTTCTATGCCCCCACCCGGGTGGGCACCTCAATCTCAAAATCTTTGTGCTCCACATCACACGCCTGGCGTTCGATGCCCACGGGACGAAGTTGGACGATGTCCCCGCGTCATGATGGCCTTGTCATGACACGTCACCATACTCCCAATGGAAACCCCACAACCAGCTGCTACGTGATTCACAGGACCAAATCCACAGGACCAAATCCTTGATTCCTCCCAAATCCAGCTTGTATCAAGAAGGTCTCACGAGCTTTCAATTTGCGCTGATCCAACCCACAGGGTTATCACGAGCAGGTCCAGGTAGCCTTTCCATGGTTTGTCCCAGTTTCAGGATCATCCCTGGCCTCGTGGAAGATGCTATCCTGACCGAAGAGTTGTCTCTGCTCCTGCCCAAAAGAACCGAGTCGTCCGAGTTCGTGCCCTTTTTTGCGGTCGTGTTCGCTCGAACTTCTGGAGGGAGGGTGGATGGGCATACAAGGACTGAGACAACTTGCGGAAGAACCACTGCCAGACTGTGAGTCCAAGATGTGGAGGATAAAATCACATCCTCGTATTCAGCTTTGTGTTGTCAAGCTTCCCAGATTGGTACATCAAAGGTTCGCCTCAAGCAGAAGAAACTCAAGAACCACTGCTTCGCTTCACCTGGTTGATGGTGTAGGCGGCGACTTCTGCATCCCCTTCCACCTGAGCACAGTGCGCGCCGCTTATTTAGAATCCCCCAAGCTGAACGGCACAGAGCTCCCCTGGCGTCCTTGACACGGAGAAAGGAGATCAGACGGCTTCCAACACTGTTCAAGTGAGAGTTGATAATCACCTTGGCTTGTCATGATTTCTCATGCAAGTTTCTGCTTGCCAAGCTAGCATGTCCGTTCATTCTGTAGGTGATGAGGAATCTTAAATGGTCCTCCCTGAACCAATCAAGGACCTTTACAGCAAAATACTCCTTTTCTTGCTCCCAATCTTCTGGCAGCAAAGGGTTGCACAACACTTCAATCCCAGCTGGACCACTCTGCAACGGCCCCACTTGGACCTGCCTCCCAGCGACAGCAGCAGAACCTTGAGGCTCAGAGTGCCGGCAAAGCACGAGACAAAAGGACTCCGCTTTAAACGGTTGACACAGAGCCAAGTGCTTTGTAGGACCCCTGCACAAGTGCTCTGCACATTCATATTTCAGGATGGTTGGACATCGGAAAGGCGAAGCGCATATGTATACCCCTAGCAACCACCAGCTATCCATCAAGCAAACCTTTTCAAAACCTGACCAGCTTCCAAAAGCGGGTGGTTGCCCTGGTGGCCCGAATCCAGGTGTGGAATCCAAGACAAAAGGCCTCACTGCCACCTGCACATCTGTGTTCCACTTGGCCAAGGTGCATCTGCAGGCATCAAGAGGCATTTTGGGCCAAAAGCTCTGGAAAAGTCAAAAGCATTGAAGAATGGCTTAGGGGCTCCATCGCTATTAAGGTTGGAGACCATCTTCTAGGTTGAGGGCCATCGCTACTAGGTTTTCTTCACAGGTTCTTAAACAAGAGTTCTAGGTGTTTAGACTCTTATGGCTCGCATGGCTCTAGGTAGCTCAAATCAAGCCTGGAAGTCTCCACCTACCGCGTTGCACATGGATCGAAAGCGACTTTCGGACACCGAGCACTGGTGACCGGAGCTTTGACGGTTCCAATGACAAGGGGATGCTCTCTCCGTGCAGATTCTGAAGGACTTCCAGCGCCCATGTATTCAAAAAAAGAGCCAAGGCATGTCTTAAACACAGTCCACGCACCTTTTCAGATCTCGCCAAGTCCACTTACAGTTGCAAAAGTTCAGGAGCTGCTGGGCAAAAAGCCCAAGCAAAAGGAGCTAGATTGGTAAGAGTTTCCACACTTGGACAAATTTTATGATCCTGTATCTGGCACAATCAGCGTTAGAAAGAAACCAGGAGAATGTTGCTCCTTTTGCAACTCTTTGGCGTCCAGCTCCGGCAACTGCACTACCACACCCCATGGCCCACCTCTGAGGACGGCGGGTCTACATTGGAGGGCCATTCAATTCGAAGGTCGACCCGATGCAAACATACATGCCGATCAGCCCCGCAGTCGCCAAAGCGAAGCTCTTAGGTTCTGACAAGATGTCCTGGCCATGATACGGTTGAACCCACCGGACGGATGCGTGTAGAAAACTCAGCTCTGACTACTCTAGGTTTGCCAGTGAAGAAACGCACATGAGCAAGGACTTGTTGTGCTCAGCTTCTGGGCTGCCACACCGGAGGGGTGCCAGTGCTAGTCGTATGCACAGAACACAAGAGAAAAGGTTGGCAACCAAATCTTGACACCGTCTCATGGGCAAGCAACCTGACAATATACCAAAAATGAATTTGCATCTTGTATAATGATCTAGTCTCAGAGGAGACTAAGGATTGTCAGCACTTTATTCCAAAAAGGGGAACTGCTTTCTTAGTTGAATCTGTTCATTCGTTTCGAACCCAGATTGCTTGTTTGGGATTTGGAGGCAACGGTCCAACACGCTGTTGCACGTCCCAAACACCGGAGACTCGTCTCCTCCAGCTTGTCGTGGCCGATGGCCAACAATCCAGTCCAGCCAGCCTGAGAAAAGCCGCCCAGCTGCCCACAAAGAAGGACCATTCCCAAATGCATTGCAAAGGCCATGCACCAGAACAGCGTGCCGAAGCGTTTGCCTAGGTTGAAAGGGATAGCTCTTGAAAGGTGCCGGCATTGAGGATGACCCTGACCAATAGCCTTTGGCCTCACTGATTCTATTTTCATTCCGGGCTGTTTTTGTTGTCCGCGAACACAGTTTCATGCTTGCACAGGCCGGAGAATTCTCCCACTTCCTGAAAGCCTCGTGGGAAGGATGTCCTTGTTCTAAACCGCCAACCTCAACAATATAGAAGCTACTAGATGCTCTTAGTAGCAAGGGCATTACTATTAGTAGCAAGAAGCTAGTAGGTTGGAGGCCATCGCTACTAGGGTGGAGGCCATTGCTACTAGGAACAAGAAGCTACTATAATATAGTAATATTTATATATATATATATACAGTAATACATCCCTCGTGTCTCGGCACCCAGGATCGGTGTGCGGAGACCAAGGATCTGCGTGAGCTGTTCAACCCTAGCAAACAAACAGCTTGCAGTTCAAATCCTGCTTTCCAAGGATCTCCAAAGACCCAAGCTGATGCTAATCTCCAATACAATGATCCCGATTGCCATCAGGTGTGCGGACACTTGCTGCGAGTGCTTGCTGTGGATGATGGACTTGTAGATCCAACTCAGGGGAGAAAGTTCCCAAATATGAATGTCCTCGACTAGTCGAACTGCAAGTTCCACCCCGCGTAGAATACAAAGATGAGATTCATCTCTATCTTTCTTCCCAAAGGTAGGTTGCTGAGACAAAAGAACACTCTTGGATCACATCTGAGACTTGTGCCGGAGCCGTGCAGCTGAGGCCTAGCAAGACACCACACGAGAACATCAGCGAGAACATCCACCACCCCGTCCACCACACCTCAGTCCTTGTACAAGCTGCCCCCTCCACTCGCCAGCCACTCGCTCTGCACCTTGAAGATCGCAGCAAAGAAGTACAAGAGGCTCACATGTAGACGGAAAAGGGATCGCGCCCACAAGTGATCTCCAGCATCTGCAAACATCCCGTAGGCCCCCCGGCCGTGGGCGCGTTTAGTGGAGGTTCGACGTTTGGCGTGAGGTTTGGTGTGCCAGGTTAGACTGAGAACCGATCTCAGCATCTTTGACATTTGTCTAAAGTGGCAGATCCTAGGCGAAGCTGTAGTTTCTGCCACCAATGACTCACAGTGGTTGACACAGATCCTTCAGGTGAAGGCTGTCAGTCAAGACCATAGATGCTCTTTGGATATCTTTGGATCATATTATTCATTACTCTAACTAGAACCTGGAGAGCTTTCTTTGTGGGCAGGAATGGGATGGCAAGCACATCTTCCATCTATACCACTTCGATTCGAAAGTAGCTGGGGATGTCGGCGTGACATGAGCACAAAGTGGGTCCATGGGTCCCCCACCTCCCAGCCATGAGCGACTGGTGGGGAACTTCTGCCGCAAGTAGGAGCTCAAGCTATAGGAGGCATCGCACGGCGTGAAAGACAAGATCAACAACCTCCAGCTGCACACTTCGAACAAAAAAATAGAGGAACCCTTCGGTCGACGACCCGTCCACTGGCCTCACTGGCTTGTTTTCATGGAGAGGAGGTTCCGAACGGCAACGTGCGAGTCCCAAAAAGGAAACAACCCCTCTGGCAAACACCCAAGCAGCAGCATGCCCACGTGCTGAGTGGGGCAATCAGGATCAAAGCTCCTTCTTGTGTTGGCCAAGCAAAAGCCTCCCGCGTCAGAACCATACAGCACACGTAGGACGGCTATGGAAAACCGTTCGTTGTGGTCTTCAAAGTTCTGACGACATGTCTCGATGGTCGTGCTGTCTCGATTCATCGCAAAAAGGTGAATACAGCTGCCCTCTCCATCTGTTTCAAGAGGTATATAGACCGAACCATCACCCTGCGCTCCCACTCCGCCTGCCGCCGCAAGCATCGCAAAGAAGGGTGCCCAAATGCCCAGGAGAAGCATCAGCAGCAAGCAGCGCATTAGAATCTGTGAACTCACAGTGTCTGGCGGCCGCGGGCAGCGTTGCGGGTGACGCTCAGTGTTGCGGTGAAAATGGGTTTTTGATGACAAACGGAGTAAACACAAGTACCAGCCTGACACATGGAAGGGAAACAAGGAGTAGCGACATAGTGGAAGAAGTGAGACTCGGGGTTCCAAGTGACCAAAGGGCATTTGGAAACAATCTATCAAACCCATTGGTTGGCCACTTTTTGCAAGCTCACCGGCTTCAGGGCTCTTCCGTCATTCCAAGTGAACAAGACAACGCCTGTAGCTCCACAGGCGCGCTTCCACGCGCGCCACACCGTCTCGATCCGTCGCACCTCCACCGGGCATGAGCTGTGGGGACCACCACTTGTAGAAGGGAGAGTCGTCACCACCCCAGTAGACATGCTCCATGATCCAGAAGGGCAGCAGGATCCTCCGGTGAAGCGTGTTTTGCGGAAGATCTTAGGCTTTGCAGTGAGCTTGGACATGTCCAGCTTCGTTGGAACCCCATTCCGTCCGTTCATCCCTTGTTCGTCCTTACCAACGACAGGGTGGGTGCGGCCCCTCGCCGGCTCCACTCGAAGGTGTGAACCTCTGAAGAGCCACAAAGGCCGGCAATCCCGATCGCCAAGGCCAGGAGAGACGCCACGGCAATAATCACCAGGCCTGCCACGCAGAATTGGAGTGATATCAGTGATATGGATGAAAACAGATTCATTGCGGGTCACCACCTTCGTTTGAGCTCTAGGGCCAGCAGTCTGACAGGCAAGGAAGATTTTGAGATTCATCTTCCTTCGCCGTTCGCGCCTTCATTGGAGGCCTGCCAGCCCTCATGCTCCCCGCCAAACATGGCCCAAGGTCCATAAAGGACATCTGCTCCTGGAAAGGGATTAGTTTCATTTCTGCCGATCAGCAAATCCCATTCGTTTTGTTCCATTTCCATGTATGCGATCGGGTGCCACAACAGCATCGGGCTCAGCACCGAGACATGGCTGAAGTCTTTTTCTTAGGGGGACAGCTAATCCCAGTGCAAAAGCAAGGAACAAGAGTTGCATGGGTGTGTAGGTTGTTTGTGAATGAAAAAATACATCATGGTCTTGCTAGCTGTCACACTCAAAACCACATCTCCCAGTCAGCATCCCTTTCCCAGCAGTTCAAGACTGTCCTGTGGTGTGTGACATGCCAGGAGTAAGGATCAAAAGCAGCACCCCCAAGAAGGCTGGCCTCCAGCAAATGCCTTGAGCCGCACAAACATGCGCCACTTTAGACATGCAAAACTGGCATGGCATCTCTACATGGGTGTGGCTGCGTGGCTCCAGAATACACCTCCACGACGGGAGAACCAAGAACTAGAACCGTCTTGAGGGTGTATGTCGTTCTGACTCTCATGCTACTAGCCAGGGTGTGTTCTTTCATACCAAGAACAGTTTCTTTAAAGGACACCCAAAACTCTGAAAACAGTCGCCTACTACTCCCAGGTTCTCCGCTGCAGCAAGGGTGGTGAATCTGGGCCTGGAAGAATCTGGTACATGATCCAGAGGATTCCAATGAAGAGGCACATGGAATAGCCGGCAGCCGGACTGTAGCGCATGGAGAGGATCTCGTCGTCCTCCACGTTTCGGGCCCAGGTGATCCGCGGCGCGGCGGGAACGCGAAGGGGTGATAGGGACCGGTAAACCAGTTCAGCAGCAGGTTCATCATGTGGATGTCCAACCAATTTTTCATCCCCCCAGATTGTCATGATGAATTGAACCTCAGATCCCCCAGATCCCCAGATGTTCCAACCAGTTCCCCCAGATCCCTTAGATGTCTTGATGGAACCTCAGCTGTGCCGTGGACATGGCACTTCAGAAACCGGTGAGCGTCATGCGTCATGCGTCATGCGCCGCGCGCCGCTGACGCGGCGCCCCCCTCCCCATCCCGCCGATCGGGTCGGCCCCAAAACGCCCACGGCCGGCAGCCGCCAGTGGTTTGGCCTGCAAACACAGCGATAAGTTGATCGTCAGCCTCGCTGCAAGGGCTTTGCACATGACCAATGGCAGCACAGCATGCCCTGCCACAGCGGCCCAAAGGACGTGGGGGGCGGCAGCGCCCTCATTCACGGCCTCACAGGAATCTGAAGGAAGTGCCAAAGAGCTGTACTAACGACTAAAGGAGCGAAGCGTGGCCCTTCTGTGAAGGTCAAGATTCACTTTCTATTATAGAAAAACGCTCGGCTGATTGTTCTATTGCTTTCTCGCTCAACACCTTCCAAACCAAGTCTCTGCTGTGGCGGCCATGATGACAACTTCACCAAGAAGCGAGCACAGGAATCCATTCTGCAGCCATATACGGGTGTGTGTGGTAAGAGCAAAAAGCGTGGTGACTTCCAAAGTCAAGCAAAGAATTGCCGCTGCACAACTTGGCCACCTGGAGTTCTCCTCTTTTTCGGTTTTAGAAGTGTGAGGATCGCTCTCAAAAGCGAGTTGGAAGAGGGTGATGACCATGGCTGTCATAGTTATGCCGCAAGTAATCATTGCAGACACCCTTGCCCTAAAATGCATCGTCAGGATGCCAAAGAGCAGAATGCAAACACTGAATTTGCCGAAGTTTGAAGCGATCCTCAAGCACGAGACGTCCCGTGACATCGCACTCCATAGTGATGACAGCCAAACGAAGCCAAAGAGCAAGGAGGTGGAGACAGCAAAGCCTCCAACAGCACATGTATCATTCCAGGGTTTCAATCCTTTCGCATCATCTCTTCGGTCCCTTTCGTCATCATCATCATCATCATCATCATCATCATCATCATCATCATCATCATCATCAGCCGGCTGCTCTACCGGGGTTGCAGAAGACCCTGTTGGGCCCTTGGCCACCTTGGCCAACTGGTGGCGCGAAGGATGCTGCTGAGCAGTGAAAGACTTGTGGGGCTTGTTGGTCTGCAGGAGGCTGCCTGTCTCTTGGTCACAGGTGTGCTCACACGCAGCGAAGACCAAAGGCAGGAAAATGCAAAAGGCTCTCATCGGCACAGTGCATATGGTAGCTTGTGAGGGGAAATTGACATTGACGATTGTGGAAACTTGATTCATGGATGTGGAAACATGCACGGTCAGTAGCTTATGGCAAATCAACATCAAACGGAGGTTTGCTCAAACTTCGATTATCAATACCATATGGATGTCACGGACAAATACGATCTGAACAACACCTCTCTTGAGTTTCAGAGAGGTGCTTGAACCAGGTCAAGTCAAAGATTGTTCCATGCAATGCTTGTTTTTGTGTGTGTGATGCATCGTACTTTTAGGTCACATGAACTGCCAACCTCTGTTTGGACAAGTTTCGTTGAACGGTAATCTTTTTAAAGGGTATGTTGTAGCAATCCAATCCTAGCAAAGATGAACACCGTGAATGTCAATGTCCGGCCGCTGTGGTCTCACCATAGCATTTACGCACTGCATGTTCAATTACAGTGCTGAACTTCACCTGATGGTGGTTTGCATATTGCGTCTACGATTCAAAGTACAAAACTAAAGAAACACACCGAAAGGCGAAAGACCGTGGGGAATGACGGGGACGCTTCATTACGTTAATTCACATTTCTTTTTTGCAACGGATAGATCCTGAACACAAAGAGGGTCACGCAACATTTTCACACATCAATGGGTTTTGGTTGACATGTTGTTGCAATAACACCAAGTTCAACAAAATTTGTCCTTTTTTTCCCTTTTGATCCCGTAGAGAAAGAACATTGTCATTTTGGGCCATGAGAGGATGCGGTATGAGTACAAAATAACAAGGCCATGACTTGGCTTTAGAGAATGGTAACCTGTTAGTTTCACCCTCTGATTCTCCACAAAATGACTCATCTGAATGCGTACATCTCAGCACATGAAAAACCCCAAACTTTGCAAGTTGACAGTTAAGCCAAGACCCCTGAAACTCTTGTCCATCAAAACAAGAGGAAGCGGACATTTGCCAAGAGGGCAGATCAGTGAAAAGTTTCACCTCTAGCAGAGAATGATCCGTTGGCAGCTGTCTAGACAGGGTGCACAGAGGCACATGCCAGAGCTTGTCCAGTGCATCAACAGTTTTTACACAGTAAAGGCATGTCCTCTTCCTGCAAACAAAGAGACTCTGCTCAATGACCAGAAACTGGTGTTTCAATCACCACAGAGACTTGAGAGACATCTTAAATTCCTCAATGAAGCAATGAAGCAGAACGCACCCAACTTTGGCCTAGAGGGTCTTTTATGCTGGCAACACCAAAGACCTGAAGCATCTTGCTGTCAACCAGCAGCGGAAGAAGAGGGATGTTTTGTAAATTTTGCGGTACGTTGCAAGGTCAAAGCCAAACGTCACTTAAAATTGAGGAGGACAAGATGCGTAGAAAACATGAATGCACAGAGCAATGTACAGAGCAACGCAAGAAGAGAGATTGCCGTTACACTGTGCATGTGGGCAAGTCTTGTTGAATACATTGACAATCATTGATAATTTTGCAAGGGCTACAGGTCCTGACGCACACTGTCATGAGAGTGCTTCGACGCAGAGTCTGTTTCACCCGTTTCTCTCTTTCATCTTCTTATTTCTTTTGGCGACACTGAGCCGACAACACTTCCTTCGACCCAAGTTTGCACAACCATGAAAAAATCTGTCCTAAACCGTCCGGTTTTCCAGAATTTGGATCTTTTGGAGCATGCGTGTGCATGGAATCTTTGAAAGTCATCACCACCAAGGGCGACTGCATGGTAAGGTGAATCCCTGCCACGCAGAGGGCACTCTTACAGCGCTCTAAAAAACCCTTTGCAGCAACACAACGCTTTGCGACGCTGGCGCAACCATGGGAAAAAAACACAAGCACACTCACAAAGACTGACCACACTACTGTGTGGATCTTCGCTTGTGAGGGCAAGAAAATACCTGAGTTTAGCAATTTGTGTGGAGTTTTGGGAGTGAAGTTTAGCTTAAGCCATTCTGCCAGGGGTGTTTGCCAGAGTGGGACTCTTGCTCGTCATGATGCTTTGCAGCTGTGGGGTCGGGGGGACAGACCGCTTTCCTTTGCTCTGTCTTTCGCGAGCGGAAAGGCGGTTCTTTGCGCCCCACTTCTTGCTCGGAAGAGCGCCAAGCTTACTTGCCATGCTTCTGCTGTGGGTGGGTTGCGTCGATGGGTTCTTTCATGACCGATTAGGCGCTTATAGATCACGCCTGCTTTGGGTCCGTTAGGGTGAAACTTGCGGACTTGAGCACCTGGTTAAGTGGTTGATGCATGCTGCATGCCTAAGTCACCTTAAAGAGTAGCACGTGTGCTCCGATGCGAAGCTACTGGAGGCCCTCTTTGGCGAGACCGGCTTTAGTTGGTTAGTTGGACTTTGGCCTCAAAACGAAGGCTAGAAATGCACTCGAATATGCAGTTCGTCTTTTTGACACTATCTTGCCCATTTTTGACACTTTTTTTGACATTTTTTGACAAATCAATGGCCAACCCCGCTTTCAAGGATTTGTCAAGAACGGTTGAGCGCAGTGCTTGGAATATGCGTTTTCTTGGGTTTCTCTCAGCCTGCGAAACTCGATCACTTCGACCGATCCCACCAAAAAAGGCTTCGTTTAACCCCGGCACTCTAAAAGCACTGACGCAGGCTCAGCAACCTTTTCGCTCCAACACGAAACCGTGGCAGTGGAAACACGGAAGCTCGATTTCCGGTTCACGACAATTCCGCTATAGCTATGAAGAGGTTTCCAAGGTCGCTATCAATATCCAAAGGCGGTTGTTGATGCCCAACAGCAAACGGGAAACACATGCTTGTGTTTCCCCGGTCAGACACCATCTCTCTCAGCATGATGGTTCCCCCAAAGGGGAAACCCTAGGACACATCTCGAGTATGTTCCTTGGAGATGGCATTGGTCATCAACCGGGAGAAACCTAAACCAGGCGGATGCAACCAAGAACCAACGATTTAACCTGCCCGGACATTTATGCAGCCTATGTGCGCTACACATCCGCAACTGAGCATCATCCCTAGATGACGCGAAAGCACGCTTCTCCACATAGACCCTCACGTGTATATTCCACGAACATGGGGGTTCCCAAACCACCTTCAAATGTGCTCTAAACATTCCGGATCGATCTCGTGCATCTTCACGACGCAACAAAGGTTTCAAACACATTCAAATGTTCTTCAAACATTTTCCAATGTCCTCGGGCACTCCTCCAGTGCACAACATGTTCTTCAAACACGTTCAAACGTTCTCGCGCATCCTCTAGATGCACCAAATGTTCTCGAACCCTCTCCAATGTGTCTCATGCGCTTCCAAAGCACACGAACTTCAGTCAATAAAGCCCAATCACACTCATACGCTCCCAAATCAAATGAGCTGGCGCACTTCCCTGGCGCACTCACAGTGAAAACCTCCCGCGTTCCCTTTCGACGGGGCAAGTGCAGCTCTTGTCAGGAACCATTGCAATATTTTTTTTCATAGCAAAGCTCTTCTCACACGCCAGCCACCAAAGACATTGCGTCATTCAGCAAAACACGTGTAATTCAAGAACTCAATCTCTCCCTAGCAGTTCAGCCCAAAAGGGGGCCAACGCCCTAACAGAATCCCTGCTGGACCAAGAAAACCATAAAGACCATGCACTCAACCGAGCTCTTCTGTCCAGATCCCAACAAAATCACTGCTAAGCCAAATCCAGCGATCTCCAAACATGGAGAAAGGGATAGTTTCTTCTAGGTTTGTTGAGGAGGTCCACCCACGAGGATGAGTTGCACAGCCAAGTTGAAACCTTGACTCTTCCGGCTTGAGCAAGCCTCATCCGTGAATTTTCCTAAAATCCAGTTGAAATAGTTCTTCACTTTTTTCTCACTCGGCGATCTCCTTCATAGCAGTCATGGTATGGTGATCATCACCTCCCTCGTTTGAAACGCGAATGGAGGATTCTCCTGCAGGCTGTGTTGTTGCTGCCTCCGCATCAAATCGCAAGGGGCAACGCCGCTGGAGGCCCCTTCGTGATGACATCACCAAGGGCCCAATGTCACTGAGACTGTTCCTTGTTGGTTTTAGGCATCTCCGAAGCTGGGCCATGAGGCGCCGAATGGTGCTCAGATGCTTGATCACCGGTGTGAAGGAAGGACAGCGGTTCCCCTCCAAAGGTCAGTTGGCCGACTTCCCTCTTTTTTTTTTGCACGGGTGGAGACGCCATTCATGCAGAAGATGCACAGGTCAGCTTGCGCGATTTTTTCTAGGTAGAGTCTCCAGCGGGCAAAACAGAAAAACGGCAAAACCCAAACCCCAAAAACCAAACAAACACCAACAGAAAAAACAAGCACTTTGGAGACTCTGCAATGTACATAAAAAGGGTGAAGCCTAAGTGAAACGTAAGGACACTATTGCGAGGGCATATTGGGCGATGAATTAAGGCAAAAAGGTCGAAGGGCAGATGATGCATAGTGCGATGCAATGGATTGTGTCAACAAACGAAGTAGGCGATAGGCCTGTCACAGCAGGCCTGTGTGAGAGCACTGTTCAAAGAAGTGCTCATTGCACTCATCTTGATTAGCGGATGGCGATCTCGCATCTGTTGGCCTTCTATTGGCCAATCTGGCACTATTCTTTTTGACTTTTGACCTTTGAAACTTGTTGGTAAGTCAATACGAGTCGAGGTGCACAAGTCTCACAGTTTGGAGGATATCATTGGAAAACAATGGAGACCATGAGCTCTGACGCGACAAACGAAAGGGCACAGATTCTCCAAAGTGGACTGTGCGCTGCGTAATTATGTGACTGCTTCTACGACCAGGGCACGGTGTTGTGCAAGCCACAGGGTAGCTGCCAGTGTCTCCCTCCACGCGGGAGGGAGGTGGCACCATCGGACCAAAATGTGCTCCAGAACAGCTTGGCCAACAGGAGTACAAAGCATCAATGTGGCAAGCAGTCAAATGGACACTTCCTCTTGGTCGTGGTGCGAACTCTCGACTCCTGCCCTTCCAAAGTCCTCAGGACAAGGACTAAGGCCCTCGTCTGAGCTCCAGCCAATTGGACATGCCACCCAGTTGTGCCA